AAGCAATTATAAGTTATTGTTCCTATGGAGGTTGAATTATCTCATTGATTTTAAGAACTGTTTTTTTGTTCTGTGTCTTCATCCTCATAAACTATGAATATAGTTTGATGAGTTTATCCGTATTGAGTAAATAATGCTTATTAATCAACAAATGCTATTAAATGGAATCACTTAGTGGTGTTCTTCCATTTTCCCTGCATGCAGCTTTTACATCCATAAAGGAAATGTTCTGTTTCTAACAACAAGTCTCATTAAGCAATGTAAAGAAATGTTTCTTAACTCCATCACATCAGTGTTTAGAAATTAAGTTCATTATTTTGAGCTTTATGCCTACTAATCCATCAGACAAACACCTCCAAATATGTTTCATACTTACTGAAATTTCATTTAGAATAAACATGAAGGAATTGATAGTTATAACTTCTATTTTTAATGTTGAGTTTAACTTACTTTTTAAAATAATTGTAGACTATTTTTGAAAACAAGTTCACAATTCTCTTTTAACATCTTGAAACAAAACTTTCAACTTTATTTGTCTTTGGATAATGGCTTAGACTGCAGTGGTGGCGAACCTATGGCACGCAGTGCTGCACAATCTGTTTGTATTGGGAGCTCTAAAAGATTTGCCATCGTTGGCTTAGAGAGATGTTTCTTTGCATGTTGTTGAAATGGAATGTAATAAAAGAGATCAAATGATATAGGGAAAACAAGATATATTTGACCATTGTATGGAAGAAAGTGCTATTTGGAAACCAGTTAATTCAACATATACGATTAAATAATTTAAAATATAAGCTTTGAAAATTTCATGGTATAATTGTTATTGAGTCTAAGATTATGCTGCTACGTTTTTAACATGCTACTTTCATAAGGAAGTAAAGCACTACCTTAGATAAATTATTTTAATATGAACATGTAATAAATAACAAAAATAAATCCAGCCAATTATTATTATAAATATTTTCTAAATTAATTTTCTCATTTGGCAGGGTAGACCAAAGTACACGATAAAAGGACACTGAAACATTTTGTTTGATTACCTTAAATCACAACAGAGTTAAAATAGAAAATAACACTTAGACATATGTTTCTAGAATTAAAATCTAATGTGACTTATAAAACATGATTGTTGATTCAACTCCATGGTGCTGTTTTCCTGTGCCTGCCAACTAGAAGCATATGAATAGACTGCCCTGTGATGACACTCATTTCAAATGTAGTAATTTGCTTATTTAACATATGTCTGCTCTTTTAATTAGTGACTCTTGGTACATCAAAAGAGCTTTATTTTATCAGAAAAATAAAAATTATGTTTGAATCTATTTTTTACAAAACTGTCTACAGAAGTGTTTGGTTTATATATTTTGTTACTAATTAGAATATCTAAATAAATCTGCCACTTGCTAAAAAGATAGAAACAACCACATAAATACAATGCATGACGGTGAACAGTTAATGAATAGTTACAATTAGAGAATATAGCACATGTAATAACACCATGAAAAAATAAAAATTAAATTCTTGACATTAGAATATTCCACCAAACAAAATAAATTAATAAATAAACTGAAAAGTATGTTAGATGGTTATCAGTGTTATAACAAAAATACACGATGGAGAAAATATGCGGAAAAGAAGGGAAGGAAGGAAGGAGAGGGGAAAGCAAAAAAAAGACAGGGAAAGAGGAGACTAAAGAAGAGAAATGTCTGAAGGAGCCAGTTGTTTGGGAAAGATTTGATATTAATAGCGGTAGACTGCTGAGGTAAGAGTTGAGAAAATACAATTAAATTGGATAAGGTGGGTAAGGTGATCGTAGAATTTTGTAACAGAAGAATTAGAGAGGAAATTACTTATTTCATAACTAAACATATGTTAAAATATGAAAACAAAATACACTCTCACAAATACAGATCTAACTACCTGATTTTTCAGAATCTCCAAGCTTATGATAAGAATTAATCATTTGACTTTATTTTCACACACAAAATGACAGAGGGAAAGCCCAAGTGCTATTTTAGTTTTAACTCTGTTTTTTGTACTAATATGCTATGTACATAGGGAATGACACGATCTTGTCCAGTGGAAGGATGTATTTTCTTTCTTTTTTTTGGTACCAGGGATCAAACTCAGGCCCTTGTGCTTTCCAGGCAGGCGGCAGAACCACTTAGCTAAATCCCCAGCCCAGAAGGATGTATTTTCTGTTTTAATGTTATTGAGTAATTTATGAATATTATTATCGTAATCAATGGGAAAAGAACTAAGTAAAATATTCCATGATGAAATTATCAACAGAAAAAATTAAGGAGTTTCTAAATCTGATAATAGATACCAGTAATAATCCCAAGTCATTTGCATTTTGCTAGGCTCTATTTTTTGGTATTTTACATTTCTCCAAGCACTACTGTTTAAGTCTACATCCTTTATCTCTCTTCTAAGTGTGCTAAGCACTCACCACTGTCTTCAAGTTGACAATTTATGGCTTATCAATTCACTTAAAATATATATTTCTTTTTGTGAACTATGTACTGAAATCTACACTGGCCCCATAGGATAAAAACTTCAATGAGATAATAAACTTCAGTAAATTCATAGTATAGTGTATGGGGTGGGGACAAACAGAAAAAAACCAAGTACAATCTAGTATGGTAAGTATGATAAGTACAGTATCTAACAGTTGGAGAACACTATTAACAGGAACTCAATTAAACACTTTTTATTTGTATTTCTACTTATCTTCAGTCCTGTTAGATAGGTACTTACACTAAGCACAACTTAAAATAATTGACCTGAGATACAGAGTGGTCAAATAAATTGTTTGTATTACATGGTGGACTTTGGATTTCTGCATAGGCCTTCAAACCACACAGACTGCTGCATTAATTTTATCTTTTCTTGTTTGGAAGCAAAAATGGCAGAATGGTTCAGCTTGCAAAGAAAGGGTTCAGAGCAAGTATCTGCTAGAGAAAGAAGACAGAAAGGGCTTTAACAGGAAGAAATACCTGGCAGCTAGGCAGTGAGGATCACAACCTCACCAAACAAGGTATCAGGAACTGAGAGCTCTGTTCCTGCATGGCACACAGAGAGTACTGAGAGAAGCCACTAGAGGCAGAAATGGTTGTCACTTTACCAGGGACTCATTCCTTCCTGAAGATTTAATTCTTCAGCACGGAGATGAACAGTGTTCATGCTGTGGATCACCATTGATTTATGGACATTAGCTTATATTTTCAAGCCATGGCTTTCCAAGCCATGGAGGATTGACTAGAAGGAAAAAAAGTGGGATCTAAGAAAACTTTTTGAAGGCTATGTAATGATTTAGAGATAAAATCTGAATGTAGCTAGAGTATATGTAGAGAGGAAATAAGGAGGATTATTTATGAGATAGAATTGCTAGCATCTGACAGTTTTCTTAGGTATCAGAAGTGATAGTGAGGGAAAATGAGGTATAGAAAATGCATCCCAAATTTCTCACTTAGCTACTAGATAGATAGTACTTTCATTAATTGATATAGGAAAGACAGAAAAGAAATAAACTCAGCAGTGGAAGCAGAAGAGTATGTTGCATTCCATTTTGTAAACTTTGGATATCTAAATGGGGACTTGTACAAATAACTGAAAATATAACCTGTAGCTGCACAGATAATTCAGTTTTGGATCAGAAAGTCCTCTGTACAATGAATGACTATGCCAAAAATCCATAGACAGGATGTGAAGAGTGGATAAATGATTTTATCCAGGAACAAGTCCACAGGTCAAAATTGTCAAGTTGGGTTATATTAATGCTTAAGAAGTAGGGCTTTGAGAGAATGACAGTGAAAGAACCTTGAAGGAACTAATCTCAAAGGCCTGGCAGGAGGTAGAAAGAAGCCTGGCAGGAGTAGGAATACAGAAGACGCAAGGTGATATTTTGATGTACTCTGTAAAATCCACACTTAAAAATACCTTAAAATATCCCTGGAGTAAGTGAGATAAGCATAGGTATGTCTCTGATTTCTAAAAATGTGTGCATTGGTTTTACTCAAGTATTCTGTGTTGTGATGTTCTCAGTTTGGATGGGTGGATAAGAAAAGATAAATGACACTTTTTTATTGTTTAGTCTCAATATCTTTCCCTCATCTTTTTCTGTTCCTTTCTCCTTTCCTCTTCCTTTCTTCTTTCCTTTCTAACTTCTCCTTTCCTTCTTTCTTTCCTTCTTACTTGCTCCCTTCCTGCCTTCCCTCTCCTTCCCTTCATTCCCTCCTCCCTCCCTCCTTTCTCTCTCCTCTCTTCCCCTGCTCCCTTCTTTCTCCCTCCCTCCTTTTCTGTCTTCTTCCCTTTTTTCTTACCTCTTTGCTTCCTTCCTCCTTCCTTTCCATACTTCCCTTCTTCCTACCTTCTTCCTTCCTCCCTCCCTCCTTCTCTCGCTCCCTCCCTGCCTTCCTATTTTCTCTTCCTCATATAAAATATTACATGACTAAATATGTTTCCCTTTTCCATGGACTGCTAAAGTCTTAAACTCATTTGGATGGCACCTTCCCTCATAGAACCTTATTGTGTACATTGTGTGAAATGATTGCATTGGGGATTCTGTCTTCGCTCAATCTGACAAATGCCTTATTCACTGACTTCAAATTTGATCCTTTCTAGTGAAGTTGCATGATTTTTGAAAAGCACTACATTTATTTGCTGAAACAAGAAAGAAAATAAAGATAAATATATCCTTTTTTTTTTGGTACTGGGGATCGAACTCTGGACCTTGTGCTTGTGAGGCAGACAGCAGAACCACTGAGCTAAATCCCCAGCTAAATATATCTTATATATGTGAATTTTCAAGTTTTTTTGTACAGTAATTCTGACCTAAATTGAAACTCCATATATGAAATAAATATTTGCTGGTTTGAATCAATCCTGGGTTGAGTAAATCATTACTCCAGAACTCAAGTTTTCTCAGCTGCTCCAAATTAACAGGAGCTCCTGTTGGTGGCTGACTTTAATAGAGAATCCATCTCTGTCTTTTGCAGTGACGAGGACAGTGTGTGCAGAGCAGTGCGATGGGAGATGCTATGGACCCTATGTCAGCGACTGTTGCCATCGGGAATGCGCTGGAGGCTGCTCTGGACCTAAGGACACAGACTGTTTTGTACGTCAGGAGTCCTCCCTCTCCCTGTCACTCTTTTTTCTTGCCTTTTGTCTCAGGGATCTCACCTCTAACATTTATGTTAAATGGTCAAGCATTCCTACCTTCTCTCTGCCTCCCTCAGCTATGATCAAGTTCAGTTTTTTTCAGCTTACCTTCTACCATCCTAAAAGTCATTCTCTCACTGTCTTGGCTGTTGATTAGCTAGAATTTTTCTGTTCTACTAAATGAATTCTGGCTTTTTGTATAATTGGTATTAAAAATGAGATTAATTGGGCTGCGGATTTAGCTCAGTGGTTCTGCCGCCTGCCCCGCAAGCACAAGGACCTGAGTTCGATCCCCGGTACAAAAAAAAAAAAATAGATTGACCAATATGAAGGAGGAAATTTTAAGATTGTTTTAAAATTATTATAATAGTATCCTTTCCACAAATGCAGTGATTTACATGTGTATGTTTTTGCACCATCAAGTCCAGTGAAAGAGTAATTGCATTTTATGTTTGGAGTATAAAGTGTATGATTTAGTAGATAAATTTAGAAATTTAACTTGCATTAACAACCTAATATTAATTTCCAAAATAAAATTTATAAATGTACACTTAAAATAATTTACATGCTAATCTGTTGATTTTTATTTTAGAAAAAGACACTTTTACTTCCTTAAAATTAACATTTATAGCTTATTGGAGACCATTTTTAATTACCTTTTTATATCATTTCCTTGATATATGCTTTGGCATCCATACAAGGATATTTAAGCTTAAAATAGTAAAACTAAGAAATTGTATTGTTAAATAAACACAAAAATATATTTTCTTTTTCACTCTTCACAACTATCCATTAAATAACATACATGGTAGAATTGAACATTTTAAAAAATGACAATTTTAATGAGCAAAATAAAAATTAAAGCTCTTCTGCTATAGATAGTAATTTCATTATTTGTTAGTATTGTAAAAACTTAATTTGTTTATTGTAATTTAATTTTATAGTGAAATAAAAATATGTATTGCAGAAGGGGAATTAGGAGAAAGAAGAAAAGCACATTAAGAAGTTAAAAATCCGAGGAAGAGACTCAGCAATTCATGAATTGAGAAGCTTTTGCTTGTCTATCACCACAGACAAGAGAGGATGGAAGTTTGATTTGTAAGATACTTAACCCTGCAGGTGTTGCATTAAAGATTCCAAAACAATAACAACAATAAACAAGGATAGCAAAAACTCTCACTTAGAAGTTTCATTGTTATATTATGGTAAGCAGAGGGCAAGAGAGCTTCAGAATACTCATTTCATTATTTCTGTGATTCTACTTTGGAATTTAGTACAGAAGGTTCATAAATGCCAGACTGAATCCTTCATATATAAGTTACATTGTGCTCGGATGCTGTCTCAAAGGTAAATTTGTTTTCTTCTTCTGGCTTGTGTTCCTTTGTTCCCAAGCAATCCATGCACAACATTGCATAAAGTATATTAGCAAAGCAATTATAAGGACACATGAAGTTTCCTAGCCATAAATTAAAACTTCTTGAAATTTCTAGATTGGTTTTTAATAGATTCTTCCTAGAAAGTGTCATCTTAGTGAATAATGTATCATCAGTGAGTCTCATTCTGATTATGCTTCTAGTAGACCATCATCAGGGAATTGTCATATTTGTGATAAAGTGCTCGCTTAAACAACAATTGATGAAGCAAGTGTTTTGAGGAAACAGAATAAATTAATCCTTATTAATAACCATATGATGATTTGTGATGAAATATAGAAAAGCTTGAGTTTACAGAAGGTTACCTTCCAAGGTCTAAATTATTTCTGTGAAGTTTAATTTCTTAATTGAAAGAATTGTTTCACCCATACTATTGTTAATCAGATCCCTATATGTACTTATATATTTTTTTCTTGTAATATCAAATAACTAATCTCAGATGGTAAAATAGTTTTTAATTCTTCTCAAATGAGTTTGAAAATATTAATAAATTGTGTTCCCAAAACAAATATATGCAAACAGAAATGAGCTGTTTTACTTGAAGGTAATGGCTTTACCAAATTACGTGCCATTACAACAAGACCATGGAAAAAATGGTATCGCATTTATACTAGGCTAGTCACTCAACAGAGGCTTTTCTTAATTACAGTTAAACAACCATTCCAATATTTTTTCACTATACAGTGGTAATCTTTGTACTTAACATGTCATTTAAGGCACTGAACTCTTTGAACACCAGCTCAAGAAAAAATAAAAAGTCTAACATGTTGTATTAAGGAGTTAGTTGACTTTAATACAAAACATTGAAACATAAATGATTTGGATGCTAATTTTGAGCTTAAATAATTCAGCCAGCTTTAGGAATTAAATGAATCATCAGTTTAGAAATTACTGTATATATACTAAGCAATTTGAACATCACTAACCCTAGATTTACATTTACTGATGTTCAAAATTTTTTGTGAGTTTTGAAACAAAAATGAATTTAGGGTTAGCAAATTCTGTAGCATTTATATAATTATTATATACTAAAAACACAAACTTCTCAAGAAACTATTGCAGTAGTGTTTCATTAACAAATGTTATGCAAGTATGTGTACAAAAAATACTATATTTGCTATTTTGCAGGCCTGCATGAATTTCAATGACAGCGGAGCTTGTGTCACTCAGTGTCCCCAGACCTTTGTCTACAATCCAACCACCTTTCAGCTGGAGCACAACTTCAATGCCAAGTACACATATGGAGCATTCTGTGTCAAGAAATGTCCACGTAAGTGACAGGACAAGGATAGCCACATTAATTAGAAAATTATTTGAAAATGAATGTCATGTAAATCAATTTGAATTTGAAATTTGAACAGTATATTAAATTACTTTGGGTGTGGGTAATATCATTCCCATTTCACAAATAAGGAAATTAAGGTTAAAAGATATTGAAATGATTGGTTTAAAATTCATAACAAAGAAGCAACATGTTTAAGGATAAAGAGTTAACATTAAAATTTTGTTATTTTTACCATACCTCAGTTTCTTTGCAGATTGTGCTCTTTCTCAGAAAGATTAATTAAGTCAAAAAAGTGGCTACATGCAATGTAATAGAGTCCACTTCTAATAAGAATAAATTTCTTCCTAAATTTGTTACTGATTATTTACCCTAGAATATATATTATTACAATTTTAATATCAAATCCAATCTTAAATAAAAACAACAAATAAAAAGAATGTGTTAAGGGATCTTTTGCAAACTGAAAACTCACCCTGGGGATTCAAAGTGATGCGCATAACTCAAGTATTCAGTGTAATACATGATTTGCTTGAGTCAATTCCTTTGATCAAGTGGCCAAAGAGTCTTTCCTCAATGTTTTACTTAATGGAAAGGCAATAAAATAAAATATAATAAAACCACGTTTTTCACATGCTTTTTTAAATAAAGACTTAAAAATCTACAGAATATAGATATGATAACTTACAAACTTCTTCACTGAGTTAATATATGATGTATAATTACAATTTATACATATATACTATAGAAATATTAGCATATAAGATTACAAATTAATTTAAGAACTGTGGCACTGACTTATGTCAGATTCAAATCTCCGTGGTACCTTGCTTGAAGGGGTTAGTTTAGCAAGCCAGAGCTGGCTTAGGAAAACAAGGACATTTATTTTCTAAATACAGGTCTACAATCCCAAATCCCAAATCCCAAATTCTGAAACATAAAAATTCTAAATAACATATATTGTAGAAATTAATTTGACTGGTTTTCATATCCTGAACTTAATTGACATAGACTACTCAAAATCTTTTTCTATTTGGCATAAATTGCTGTAGAAATACGGAAGTGTTTAATTATGCAATATTGCCAAGACCTTGCAGAAAAGATGGCTACTCAGTATATTGTGTCTGCACTTGTAGTAGTTTGGATTCCCCTGGAACAGATATTAGGTAATTAGCAAGGGTTGTAGGATTCCATACTTGTGGAAGAAGGCAAGGAAGCAGGATTGGCATTTGATGCTATCTCAGCAAAGGGTCTCTTACGGTGGATACTCTTGGTGGATAACTTGTGATTCAAAATGCTTAACACTTTGTGCTTACTACCATGGTTTCCTTCATATCCCTCTACTCCAGGCTTGCTATATTCCCAGATTTTTCAGTGTTTTTTTTTTCTACCAGAACAAGCCACTGCTCATGAGTACATATATATTCTAAATGAAGGCCACTTCTTTCTCCACATAAAGTGAGTGAACAGGTTACATTATGCAGAACTATGCCCTTTTGTAGGATTTTATCATGCCTGTGCCTTTCAAGTCCATTCCTAATGGAGGCTGGAAGGAAGCTGCCATCCATTTTTAGCTTGCGCCCACATACTAAGCATAGCTGGTCATGTAGTCTCCGTAGAGCCTGGGGTAGGAGCTGAGTGACAGTGCCAGCACAGTTCACCCGTGCCTACCTTTTCTTCCCCCGTTCATGTCCAATCTCAAATGAAGTGCTTCAGTTTCACAATGGTTTGCTGTTGCTGTCCAATGTTATAAAATCATGATTCAAGCAAAACCTTGTTTATAATGGGTTCTTCTAGCCCCACATTCAATCACTGACCTGTGGTTAGGTGCTCCAACTCTACCAGGACCCAGAAACATGTCAAGCAAGAGCTTTTTATTAAGTGGTATACAATCCTATGCTACAGTTGGTATGGCTTTGCTCTGGAAACCTAAAGGTCTCTATTGTTTTTCCAGTTGGCACTTGGCATCACTCCAAATGGTATATACTCCTACCAAAGATTCTTCCAATATCATAGAATGTCTTGGGTTTCATGACCCGAGTGGAAGAATTGCCTACACATTATGTGTTTCCTGCTGTGGGCACCCTTCAACTCAGATCACTAGTCTCCTAAACATTTTACCAAAGTTTGAGTAATAAGATGCTCCTTGTCTGCTCGGAATACCTTTTGTAAAGTATACCTTTCAATTTCACTTTGTTTCTTCATATAAAAATAGGAAAAAGCTTCTATGGCACTTCATTGAAACAGAACACATTTTAAACATTTCTTCCTGGATTTGAAGTACACTCGCTGGATCCAAGGCAGTTTAACTTAAGCTTCATTTATGCTTCATGAACTTGAAGTATTTTTAGACTTCAAACTTGTATCATGACATGAAATGAAGTGGAACTATTGAGAAACACAAACTAAATGTCATTTAGTTTCCTGAGTCTATAAAAGAAATCCACTCTATCTTGGGGGCAATTCAGGCTGTGGAGCAGTAGTCAAGCAAGTACTAGTGGTTTTTAACACACAGTGCTCTCAGATTTGAATGTGAATTCTTGGAAATGCTATTTTAGTTGCAGATATTTAAACAAAGAATCATTTTGGGGAGAGACACATGTACACCATCAGTGTTGTTAATCATTTTCAAACCCTAAAATACGCTGTTTTAAACTTGATCACTGAACATTAACATTATTTCTTACTTTACCTTTTTAAAAAAAAATTAGATAACTTTGTGGTAGATTCCAGTTCATGTGTACGTGCCTGCCCTAGTTCCAAGATGGAAGTAGAAGAAAATGGGATTAAGATGTGTAAACCTTGCACTGATATCTGCCCAAAAGGTAAGTAATAGTTTAGTGTACAAGAATTTTGGTTAGAGCAGATATGTATATATACATATATATATATATAAATGTTTTTAATTTACTTTGTAATAGACCAATCAAATTAAGCTCACATTATAAACCACAGTGATACACACACGCACACTCACACACACTTTCTGTGACTTTGGACAATTCCCTAAAGTATCAGCTAACTGTATATTATTGGTTTTGAATTATATGAACAAAGGAGTCTAGATAAAACTCCAAGTTAACTTTGACAGGAATACAGAAATAAAATTGCATCTTGCTTTACCCATAACAAATATTCAAAGTTTTGCCCAAAACAAGGATTTATGTGCTTACTTTATTATCATGACACATATTCATTGGTTCTTATGGTACAGGAAATGATCTGCCAATTGTCAACAGGAAAGCAAAGGGGCATGCAACATGATATTTAGTCTCCACATCTTAAAAATATTTTGAAGTTATATGAAATGACAAGCAAATTTATTATAAGTGTTAAACAAATGTTGCAGATAATTCATGTTGTAGAATTTTAGTGGAGGAAGAAAACCCCTTCCAACCATGAATGCTCAAATTCCTCACTAGAGTGAAACTTAAATTAAGCAGAGCCAAAGTACAGCTCAGATCTTCTAAATGCTATTAAGCTTTTCAAAGTAGTAGGGAGTGCCTTAGAAAAGGGCAAACTTCACATTAACTTTTAGACTATATCCTCTGTGTGTGTGTTTCTCTCTCTCCATCATTCTGTTTCTCTCTTTCTTTCTCTCTCCCACTATGGCTCCCTCTCTCCCTCATTCTTCTTCCTTCCCTCTTTCTGTATATTTCATACACACACACAATTTTTAAAGTATAGATTCAGAAAGCATAGGTATTTTTAAAATTTAAGCATAAATATTTGAATGGCCCTGGATGTTGGTAATAGTTCATACTATCAGTCCTCTTTGTTTAATATATATTCTTCATTGGACTTGTGTTTTTAAAATTACAGTTTCTAATTAGTAGACAAGGAAATAATTTTACTGGTGTGATCAACATTTTAAAAACATTAAAAATAATATTTTACAATGGATTAGAAAATAGATATTTTTACCTAATAAGAAAAAGTATCGTTGATAATAGTTCTGTCTTAGTTCTACATCTGTTACGAGTATGTACTGGTTCTTGTTACAAACTATAGTTCTACAATGAGCTGTGGTCACTGGATTGTAATGCAGGGCCAATGTTTTAAAGTAGGCCTAGTAGTACATAATGAATCAATTAGCCATTTTATTTTTCAGTGAAAAATTGTAATTGTTTTTATTTAGTGATAAAATATTGTTATTTAGTAATGAGAATGTAATGATTGATTTGTTGGCCAAAGGTCTGTTTTCCAGCCCCTTGACTGTAAGTCTTGTTTTTTGTAGCTTGTGATGGCATTGGCACAGGATCACTGATGTCAGCTCAGACTGTGGACTCCAGTAACATCGACAAGTTCATCAACTGCACAAAGATCAATGGGAATCTGATCTTCCTTGTCACTGGTATTCACGGGTTGGTATTTAGCTCTTGTGCAGGATTCTTTTATAAACATAGACAAAGCTGAAGAAATTTCTTAGCTATGTCAGTTTGGTTCTTCTTGACCCAGGGGGATTTTATCTAACGTTCATGTTCTTTGCCAGCATAAGCAATTGTCAGATGACCAGCGGGGATGGTATACTGGAGTTCTGGGATAATCTGCATTTTGAGTTTAGTGACTACTGAGGTTCAAAAATACAAATTTGTATTTAAGTTACAATGTATTTATAGAACGTTCTCAAATGCATAGTTTTCAATATCTAAGTAATAATATTAATGGATAACATTGGGGGACTTTATTCAGGTTTTCAACTGAATATATTGAGGCAACATGAATTAATATTCTGTCAGAAAACTCATATAAAGCAAATCAAATAATCTGAAATAAAGCAGAGTTGAATTTCTCCTGAGCTTCTTGCAGAAATTCTTTGTTTTCAGAGATTGTTTTTCTTAATTTGAGAAGTTAGTACTACTGTAGGAGATCTATTAAGTGCATTTCATTTTGGTGATAAAAATTGTCACATTCTCTGGGCTCCTTCATTACAGAAGCACCTGCTGATTTTAACTGGGAAGACAATCAAATTTTATTCTTTGGATTGTAATAAAAATGTCAATATTTTTACTTTAAATCTTATCTATTTGTCTACATTACTACTTAGTCTCTAAATATTAGCACTACAGGCTACAGATAATGAATGTCACTCTCATATTTCATCTCAAACTCTTACTCTGAACATACATCACATCATTTCTAGAAGCAAAATAATTGAACACATTAGGAATAAATATATCCAAATAAGAGCAGCAAGAACAACAGCATAAAATATTTCTTTTTATTCAAATAAATTGTGCTACTGCATAAAATATCTCTTTGCTTTAAAATGTAGCTTTTAATGTGGTCCCGTGTCAGATACTATAGTCACATATATGTACTTTCTGCTCAATTTGTTATAATTGGTCCAAGCAAATGTTTTAAAAGATTTTTGAATTGGCTTTAAAAAAATGTAGCCTTGGAAACCCTCAGCCACATCCTTACATAGCACTAACCTGTTGGAGATGGGTAGCACTACCCAGTTTTAGATGGGGTCTACTCAGTAGACTATACCTTAGTCCTTACTGCTCTCTGAATCCATTTGCATTGCTGTCTTTGTCTTTTTTCCCCCACTAGACAAAAGACCTGGGTTAACATTTTGGAGCATCTTTAAAATTGAATGAGTATATGACATTTAATAAAGACATTTTAATTATTTTTTAAAAACAAATGTCACCATGTATGAAAGATCATATGTTAATAATTTCTTCTCAGAGATAAAAAATAAAACATATCTACATGACCCTAATTACTTGTTTCCACTTGAAAATAATAAATTCAGTGGCTTCAAGACCCTCAGTGTGGGGAATGATTTGAAGTCATATTCTCCTGAATTACATGAGATAAATGGTTTTCATTGCTATCTGCCCCAACATCCCTCTTTATACCTTAAGCATTCGACACTTATTCAGTTCTAAAGTAAAATCTATAAAGAATACAGCCTACAATATACATAATTTTAAAAAAATCATTAAAATTCTCTAGCTATAATTTAACAATAAGCAAAATAAAGCACATATATAGTAAAATAGGTATTGACAGGAACATCCTCAACTTCAACTTACAATAAAAACCTAGATTTATGAGAAATAAGATTAGAAGACATTCTGTGTAAGAAGTGCAGGGAAATAAAAAGCTGACCACAGAATGAAAATAACCAACCAGACATATTGAAACATATCAAAGAGAGGAAGTAAATAACTTCCATTGAAATGAGGGCAACGTCACTAGGGAATAACAAAGTATGACTAGACATGAAATTTGCACATACGAATTCCTAAATATCTGATGGAACATTTTAAGGCTGTATGAGATGAAAAGAAATCCTTCTTTGTAAAAGCCATTTAACAACCTTCACCTTGGATTGCTACTAAAAGCTTACAGTATCCCCGACTTATAATAACATTGAAACACTCTTCAAATGCCAAAGCGCCCTTCAGTAGGATGGCACTGCCTCTGTGGAGAACTTCTACAAAAATTTCGTGAGAGTAGAAGGATTATGGAAAGCAACCGGCTAATACTTAAAGTTCTTATGGATAAAACAGGCTTGAAAAAGACCCAATGTAGTGAAGTTCACAATACTATATTTATTTTAGTCTTGGTGCATCATATAATGAATTTTTTAAAATTTGGATTTATAATAATTATAAAATGATTTTATACAGTCTCCACCTATGGCCTATGGCTCATAGAGGGGGAGAATGATTAATAAATAAATGCACAACAAACAGAAGCAGTTACTTCATGGGATAAAAATATATTGTGCAGTTGGAAGTGTGCATTTTTAAGCTTATGAGAAAGATATTATGAAATATTAGACTAAGCTAGAATTCTAAGAATGATCTTGCTAATTCACTCAGATGAAAAATGACTTATAGAAAATCAGCTCATATAGATCAGAAATAGAAAAATAAATGAAGTTTATCTTAATAAACAGAACATACAAGACAGATTTTCTTTGTGGATAACTTGATAGAGGGCAAAGTGGAGTTGGATTTGCAGCTCCATAATGGGCAGTTTGAGTTAGTTGGTGGCTGCCCTGTCACATGAAACAGTTTGTTGCAAACTAAAACTGAGATATGGGTTAATCTTCCCTCTGATTGTTTTGATATTAAAACTAAACCAAAAAAAATTATCAATTGCTCATTCCAATACATGATGTGATTTAAAATGTTAATAAATGGTGTAAGAAAAAGGGAGGAATGTAAAAGAGACAGTGAGTGAGAGAGAGAGAGAGAGAGAGAGATGAGAAAAATAAAATCTAAGCAGGAGGAAAATCAGTGTGAAAGAAAAATCTCAGTAACTATGTCTAATTATAGTTGAGAAAATTGTGTAACAAATATTTTATAGACTTAATAGCCTTTTATAGAGTATGTTGAAAATAATATAAAGGCAAAATTTTCTTTAATATAAATCCCATTTCTTAATTTAGATAATTATTTGTCCCTAATCATGGCACTTAAATCTGGAATATTTGATGTTATAATAGATGTTACTTGAGATACAGTAACATCTAATAGATGTTACTGTGTCTCAAGCATAACATATATGGCATTTTTAGGACAAATATATTGTGGAATATGATATAGCACTCTTAGTCTCAATGACAGCATGAGACATATATTCTGAAGATTTTTCCTAAGGAAAGTATGACCATAAAGTTAATTTTGTAAACCTAAGATGCCATATATATATATATATACACACACACACACACACACACACACACACACACACACACACATGTTTGTATATATAAAGGTATGTTGATGGTACATACATACATACATAAAGGTATGTAGATGTATGTATGTGTACAGATTAAGAGTCAGAGATATAGAGTTTTTAAAAGAGAATAACATCAGTTATTATAAACAGAAAACTTCTAGTAAATAAATGTTTTATGTCATTTAAATGCCATTACCCTCAATGCATTACTACCCAGTTTTTAATAAGGTTATATTCCAAAAAAAATAAGGTTATATAATTTATTAAAATAGCTGAGATAATTTCTTAAAATAATGAAAAGGTAAAAATATCATAACTAAATGATATGCTTTTCAGAAACAAGGTTCTGCAGAAAATTACTGCTATTTTGTTAGGCAAAATTTCAATGTATGAACAGGCTAAAAAAACTGACATGAAAGTTTACAGTACAGCAGAATCATTGGCAGAAACTGAAAAAAGTAATCACTTTTTTATTTAAAATAGAAACCTCAGGAAAAGCTTATTGTTTAGAGTTACAGGAATATTCCTCCTTCATGTTTTGTCATGTTTGACACCATTCTTGTGATTGTTCTAAGTGACATAATACTCCCTAAGTATACATGCTGATGCTATGTCCCTGTGAGTCACTGGGGAGAAGTTTACATGATAGACTGAAATGATGATGGCCAGTCGAAAAAAGATAATAGGTTTGCTGATCAAATAAAGTGATGTGAGTGAAATTTGGAAAATATGTTTCTTTCCATGTGTCCTGAGGATTTTGGATCACTAAACACAGTGATATGGTAGACATAATGTTCTTGTGCATAGCTCTGAACTTAGGTAAGAAAGTTCTCAATTTTTAAATTATTGTGGATTTCAAGTGGCAGTAGGATGAAACTACCAAGAGGTACTTAGAAGTTAGTAAGTGGAATTCTGTCAACTTATTTTATGAGAGTCCTTAATCCCTAAAATTAAGTATATAAAATTTCTGTGGTCCATTGGGCTTTATGCTAAAAGTCCTGAATTCATTTTATTCTGGCAACTTGGAACCATTATAGTAAATGTTTGTTTTGACCCCATTATTGTGTGCTTGCCCTGAATGTTGAGTGTTTTTCAATAAATCCTGGATATTTGATTATATGATCAGAGTGTTCTACACACTGCTTTCATCAACAAACAACTGTCAAAAGCTCATTTTCCTCCTGTAGAACCTTTGTATGCTTCTGCATACAAAACTTTTTGGATATTAAAACATGATATTAAAATAAGAGCTTTCCTATGTAGTCTTCTTCATAGTCACCAAAAGCATAGTTGTGCATTTCATATATATTTACATATATATTTACATATAAATACAGTAAATTAGCTAGAACATTTAATTTAGACTTTAACCTTTTAAGAGATATTAATTTAACATTGAAAAAATTTCTGATCAATGGTCTATGTGTGAGTTACAGAGATTTTGCACTCTCACCAATATCTAGTTTTTAATGTTAAACTTCACCTTGAACTCCATGTTAAACTCACAGTACATTGCATTGAATCCACTTCCTAGTTTGAAACAATAATCAAGCAATTTTTATGATGTCAGATAGTTCATGGTATAGAATATGTTGATGAACTAAGTCCAGAATGTCAGTATCAGGTGGTTCTAGTTATTAACTAATAGTCTTTTCAAGATTGTCATGCTGAGATTTTTTTTAAAATGCCAGGAGATTGATGAAATTCCCAGGAGATAAACTGTGTACCTATCAGTTTGGCAGGGATTATGGACCACCTTGACTGATAGCCCTATTAAGACTGTATCCCAGGGCTCACTGGTCTAGTCTTTATTTCCCATACCAAAAGAAGTTTCTCATAGACTGGTAAAGAATACATGTCCATAGGAAGAGTAAAACTCATTTAATTGCTACAGCTAGATACATACTCCTAAAAATACCTACCTTCATTGTTTTTAGAAGGCTTAATCTCTATTGGAAATGTAGTCAATGAGAATTTTATCTGTATATAAAAGGCATATATTAATGTGAACTCTGACATTACCCCTGAAAGTCTTCTAATGTAATAAAACTTTTAAAAAGTATTATGTACTTCTTAAAATAATAGTTTATATACCAAGGAGCTTTAGATATTATGTTTATGTTTGGCCTAATATTCAAGTATGTGATTATATTGCATTATCAATTTTTATTGGAAAAGTGTTTTCTTAAGATTAAAAAAATGAAAAAAAAAGTATATATTTCATTTTAAAAGACAACATAGCTGGGCGTGGTAACATATGTCTATAATCCCAGCACTCTGGGAGACAAGCAGGAGGATTGCAAGTGCCAGCCCAGCTTCATCAACTAAGTGACTTAGCAAGACCCTGTCTCAAAAAAGAAAAAAGGAAGAAAAGGGCTGGGTGTATGCCTCAGTGTGAAGGCCCTGGGTTCAATACCTAGTACAAAAAAAAGCAATTTTTGTTCATTTTCAGGTATCTGCATATCAATAAATTTATTATAACTTATGTTTATGCTTTGGGAGATGAAATTTGGAAAATCTTCAAAATTTATATCTTTTGAATCTTACAAAATTTGTTGTACTTTTTTTCAAGCATTTAATTCATTTAAATGGAAGCAAATATTTCCTGTGTTATATTGATGAGTATAAATAAATCAGAGAGTAACCAAATTATTCTAAATAATTCATATGAAGAGTAACATTCATACAATAGTATTCAAATTCACAAATGCAGACATAAAAAATAAAAAGATATTACCTGTATTTCTTTCTGTCCTATGGATGAGTTACAAGTGCTACTAGCAATTTATACTCCTTTGAGGAGAGCCCAAAAACCAATTGTTCTCAGCATGATATTATTTATTTCCAGGCCATATTCTTCCCGATTAAGGGTAAACCTTAAAAAGTCAAACAAAATAAAATGGCCCATTCATGGACTTGCTATCTTCATTTTGGGGGGGGGGGTCAGGATGATAGAAACAGGACTTTTCCCACAGATTTAGAATAACTTTTTTTTTTTTTTTTGGTACCGGGAATAGAACTCGGGTCCTTCCACTTGCGCAGCAGGCGGCAAAACCACTTAGCTAAATCCCCGGCCCCAATTTAGAATAACTTTTGATAGAGAACTTATGTTCAGGGGCCGGAATTTAGCTCAGTGGTTCCACCGCCTGCCTCGCAAGCGCAAGATCCCGAGTTTCATCCCCGGTACCAAAAAAAAAAAAGAACTTATGTTCTGTGTCATCAAAATTCTAAAAATATATATTAATCCCTCTCCAAATGTTGCTTGAAAAGATTGGACAACACATTGTTAACCCTCCCACTCTAAATTAAAATTCAGTTTGAACGAAGTAAATACTGTCTTTTTTTTCTCATATTTTAAACTTTGGCTGAATATTTTCTTCACTTTCTAGGGATCCTTACAATGCAATTGAAGCTATTGACCCAGAAAAACTGAATGTCTTTCGGACAGTCAGAGAGATAACAGGTACTTTTTATTTTTTTATTTTTTTGGTACCGAGGATCGAACTTGAGTCCTTGCGCTTGCGCAGCAGGCGCCAAAACCACTAAACTAAATCGCCAGACCATAACGGGTACTTTTTAAAGTGCAAACTTTGTGCTATATAATTTGTGAGTTTACTGTTTTCCTAAAAATGTTAAATACTATTGGTATCAGCAACTCATTTTCAAAGCAAATTCTAATTTGTATAAACATATCATTATGAGCAATAGGTGTCTTGCTTCTTAGCTTTTGTGGATATTTTGAAAGACCATTGAATTATAAAAATAAGTATCTTTGGAGTTATGTCATTACTGTTTTAATAAGTATTTAACAAATAATCTATGATCTTTAAACCAAAATTTTTCCATTGATTTTCTAAGGAGTAACATAGCATTCTTTTAGCGCATATTTTTTGAGGTCCGATTATCTTCAAGACTGTAGTAATATGCGTTGTTACACCCATAGAAATGAATCAGACATGGATTTACCATTGAACAATGTAAAATCTAATGAGGAAGACTACATAAAAGGCAAAGCAAATACTGATGTCATAAAAAAACAAATAAAATGATAAAGGATTTCAGAGAAATGATATTTTCTCTTTAAACTGCATTTTTATCATTCATTAGAATAAATTGAGTCATTTAAAATTTTTAATATATAGTTTTATAATTTCATATGTCTGAGAAAGAAGGATTCTTGGTGCTATACTTTTGATATCAGTTATTTATTATTTACTCCAGGAACTTGGGATAAGGCATTCAATACTGGAAGAATAAATATGCCATAGAATGCTTTAAAAATAGAAATGTTCAATGCTTTTTACTTTCCTGTCACATCTTTCAATGTATTTTCATCACATTCAAGAATAAATAATATTATTTCTAAGACCATTGTGATCTTATTTAGTTGTGCTATCCCTATATCACTCTAGGTTTCTTGAACATACAATCATGGCCTCCAAATATGACTGACTTCAGTGTTTTCTCTAACCTGGTGACCATTGGTGGGAGAGTACTCTACAGGTAGGTATAAATGTTTACACCTGCAGCCAGCCCAGATTTTAAGAGGAGAATCATGTCTACATTAAGTCAAACCAATCTTATTTATTTACTGGTTATGAAAATATAATATTTCTACCTTTAAATGAAAGCTCAGTGAAAATGCATCTAACGATGACAAAGTATACAAGTATGTATTTGGATTTTTCAACTGCATATCACATGATATTAGTGTTTTGCAGTATGGAATGAATGATGTGAACCATATAATTAAAGCTTATGTTGATTTTGTTATTTTAACTAAAGATAGAATAGGGTGATTTAATAATACCTCAAGCATATGGGATATAAATGCTCTTGGACCAGGAGGCTCTATTTGTGTCTTGGATGCTACCATTTGAACCATGCTGCACAGGGTTTGTGTTTCAAGAATTGGACAGCCACTCTGTATGCAGCATTGGTTAATAAATGGTCAGAAAAATTAGATCTTGTAGGACATTGTTATAAAATTTTGTAATTTTTAAAATATTTTGTAATTTTTAAAAATATTCTGTAAATATTTTAAATTCATGTGAGAAAAATAAATAACAGTCTTTAGCCACTACTTTTTAAAGTTTTATCTCAAATTTTGTTTAAAGTTTTTATACATGAATTAATATATACTGATTTACATAAGGAGATTTATATTTAATGTTTCTGCTTAAATCTTAAAAATATCTAAAATTATTGTTACCATTGAATATTTTATTGTAAGGGTTTTTAGAAAGTACATTAAATTTTACAATTAAAATCTAAAACAGATATGTAAGACTTTTATTAAAGGTAAAAGGGAAAGGAGCTTAGTAAGTAAGTCCAGTTAAAATATACAATATGCTTAAGTGCTACATGCAAACAACTTTTACTAGTCATTAAAATACTATAAATAAGTCAAAAACATAAATTATTCAATTTGACATTGTAATAACAAATCATGGTGGTTATGATGGGAGCAAAAGTTTGAAAGAATAAATTACATTTCAATATTCATCATTAAGTCCCACATATTTTTATTTATTAAAAATAGTAATAAAAATACAAACAAAAAATAGAGAGCCAAAAATATTCTAAAAGATAACAAAAAGTATATTTAAATTATTAGTGAAAAGAAGAGATTTGATCTCCAAAATGAAAAATAATGTTCATTAGTTGATTGAAAGATGGGATTGCGGGAAATGTATTTATTCTTTAGGTCATAGAAAAATAATTACAATAATGTGGACTATGTTGAAATAACAGCAATTTCTTTGAAATGATAGCTTACACAGAGTAGTTGTTCTTTAAATTTTAGAATTTTCCCAAGTTGTTTAAGCCTGAAGAGTGGGAGATTAATTTCATTCTCATTAGTTTTTAATTTGTCTTAACCTTACTTATATGTTCTTCAGCTATAACAGTTTTTTGATTCCTGAGGTATAAAGTTAACTACCTATAGCCATGTCTGCTATATCTATTTAATAAAAGCATATTGTAAATCTGTGACATAATATAGAATAAGTGTCTCACTTTTGAGAGGTAAACAGTCACTCTAATAAATACTTATTTAGTCAGTACAGGATTTTGTCACTGAAGAACCTATAATTTAGGCTACATGACAGAAATCAGTGAGTAGATATTTCACTGGTAAATACAATGAGATGTACATATGCTGTCAAATCCATAATCCTAAGAAATGAACATTTTGCTTTTAGAAATCAAATTATTATCACAACTGAAAGCATTTCACAAATAAATATGAAAATGTTACTCTTTGCATAGATTTATTGATTCAGTCTGTTTCTGTTATATTAACATTCTTTAGAGTAAGATATGACATCTTTATTTTAGTTTAGGAGTACATTTGATGACCAGACAATATTTACTTCCGTTCCACTTTCCCCCTTCTCTTCTCCAGTGGCCTCTCCCTGCTGATCCTCAAGCAACAAGGTATTACCTCTCTGCAGTTTCAGTCCTTGAAGGAAATCAGTGCAGGAAATATCTACATCACTGACAACAGCAACCTGTGTTATTATCACACCATTAATTGGACGACACTCTTCAGCACAATCAACCAAAGAATAGTGATTCGGGATAATAGAAAAGCTGAGAATTGTAGTAAGTACATTATCCAGACACTTAAAACATAGAAACTTGAAAATTGCTCTAGTCTACATTGGCCCACACAACTGAAAATATCAACAGGTCAGAAGTGTCACCTTCTCACCTTCTTATCCCAACCCTGAAAAAGAGTAGTAGCTATACTCACCAACGTGGGGTAAAATAATGAGAGATTGCAATGTTTCATAACATACTGCATGTTTGCAAATCTTTCCTAATATTAGGAATCCTGTGGAGATTTATATTTAGTGGGATTCAATCAGTATGTGGAAATCCATCTTACTGAATTCTGTTTGCTGTTTCCTTTTGGTGAATTTGGAATATAGAATAACAGAGGTTTGCTCTTTGGAAATAGTGGGAGAGATGAAGGTGTGCTCTTTTGAAATGTGAAAAAAATATTCTTCCAGAAGTTTACTATCTGAGAAAAATGTTTATTTTATAAATGTATTTATATTGGCAGATAATGATCTCTTTTTTCATATGTTTTGATACATATTGATCCATTTCATTGCTTCTTTGTTACAGCAAAGGAAATAATGTTTCCCTAAGGCATGTGACTATACCATTCCTATCTAATACAGTGATGTTACTGTTGCTGGATAGCATGGGTCCTTGTTTTAGTACAAATTAATTGGAAAAGTTAAAAAAGTTAAAAAAAATTAATTGGAAAGTTAAAGGGAAAATAAGGAAAGACTCCAGTTTAAGTAGTTGGAGAAGGGGCACACCCTGATACGGGATTAAACCTGACCTTTTGCAAAGGAAGGGGTTGAACCTTTCAAGTATTAGCTTTCTGGCTGTGGTCTAGATGATCACTACCTCAGATCTGTTGTCGTAGCTCTAGAACCCTTATTCTTCATAGCTGAGATCCCTTTCCAGGAGAGGATCCTCTCCACCTCTGGTGATCTCTGTCAAAGGCATTGTGGCTTTCCTGGAATCTGAGTGAATCTGGCTTAGGATGATGGCTGGAGGGTTCAGGGTGTAGCTGAATATCCCTGTAAACTTCTTGTCTTGATGTCTTCAATCTTGAAGGGGGATGAGATCATATAAATTCAGGACTAATCAACTTTGTCTCTAGACAAACACGCCCTAAAAGATCAACATGCCCCTATGAGGATTTGAGGAGAGATTCTACCCAAGATTTACAGTGACAAAAGATACAAAATGAAGGTCAAGTTTTGTTGTTTTTAGTTAGCTATTGAGCAATTGTAGGCCCAAGTAAAGAGACATGGCACTCAGCAACAATGGCTTTTCAGTCCCTGACTATCCCAGAAAACATAAATCATGGTATTAATAAGTAGGAGGTAAGGGCCCAGGATTCTGCCTGTCCTCATCTCTGTGGTGGTCCCTGACTATATCATGATTTTGTCACTTCAATGACTAATACTCAATTCTTTCTGATGTTTCTATGGAGTACACTGACTTCTATCTACATCTTATGAGTGCTACTACTAATTATGTAACAATCTGACTTATTCACAATAAATACTAATTACAAGTACTCAAAATTCAAATAATTTGCTTGCAAATACATAGTCGTGTTATGGGCACGTGATGAGTCAGTTCTTTTGAGAAGAAAAGTGTTGCTTTACAGCTATTATCTAACTTGTAATCTCATCATGAGGACAATTATCAAGGTATTTATAAAATAATTACTGAGTTCTCCTGTGTGTGTTTAAATGCATAACAGATGATTTTTTAAAATTTGGATACTCTAGAGGGCAACATTATTTAAGTAATTAGTGAGTTAAGTAATTAGTGAATCAATTTAGTTTTAATATCTAACCTTGTTCCAGAAAGGCTTCAAAGCAGTTCAAGCTTACAATGTTCAAAAATATCACTTATAATTTATGAGGAACTCATTTATGTGCTAGCTGCTTTCTGACTCTTAAAAGTATATTTTCAGAAGAAAAGAGAACTATTGCAATGTGAGGTTCCTGTTTAAGTGAACTTAAATTCTTATATATTCTTCTTTTCCACATAGAATCAAGGAATGTAAGATCTATTTATATATCAACATATATATGTTCATATGAAATAGAATTCATCTCTTATTTCCTTATTCTTTTACATTGATAATTCCTGACCAAATTTTCCTTGCTTTTACTCCAATATTTAAGCTTCTTACCCTACATTTCTCTATGTATGTGTTCAGATATGTCCCAAAGTAGATGGTGCATGACTCTAAAGCATCATATTCCTCAACCCTGTTTAGAAACAAAAATTTTTATATGATCCATTTGAAAATCCTACCAACATTCCTATTTTTTAAACTTTTACACCTGAACAAAGAAAAATGGGAAAAAGAAAATATAGAAAGAAATTAAATGTAGAAAAGCAAAATGGGAATAAGAGGAGTTTTCAATAAATTATTCTGTACCTTTTAAAGACTTGTTAATTTTTCAAACAACCATAAGAGAATAAGCAGTAATAAAAGTGGTAATAAATTAAAAAAATCAAAGATGATCTTAAACTTTCAGTGCTAAGCCTCTGGGATTAAGTTTAGTTACCTTAAATTGATGCACATATTTTCTGTGCTTGTATACTTATATTTTACTCTTTAGTTTGAGGAACAGATGAAACACTTAGGAGAAACATAGTTTTGTAGTACTGTAGCATAAAATCAAGTATATAATTTTTCATTTTTAACACTGAGAATGAGTACATTTTGCAAGAAATTCATTTATCAAAATTCAGACATAAGTCCTACTGCACGTTGCATTCATGAAATTCTGCATTTTGAAAAATGTAATTACCTTGGAAACATGACCTCAGAGATGATGCTATTGATGTTTTCAATGAGCTTGCAAACGGTTCATCACATGTGATAAAAATCTTATCATTCATATTACTATCCACAATGTGAAGGTCCAAATATTTTCTTTTAAATCCATTGTAATATTGCATTTTAACATATTCTTTCTGTATTCACACACATGATACCTGAGTGTATAGTTCATTCCTTACAATAGATACATGCAAATTTAGCATACCTGTGTTGTTGACACATGCACATGCAATATAGATGGATTAACACAAGCCCAGAATGCATATATATGTACCTGGACTCATGTGTACCTCACTGTCTCCCTCACCCCACATTGCCATCACTATAAAATACTCTGATCTAAATCTGGGAGTTGCTTTGTTAACTTAAAAGAAAAAGCAACCTTTCATTTATAACAGTGGCTTTTGGAATTCAGCACGACCCAAAACAGTACTAACAATAAAAGGAGAACTTCACCTCATCTACAAAGGGTGACAGTGGCTTGAGCAGCTTTACTCTTTTAAGTCAGAACTTTCAAAGCAGACTTTGTGGTTTCCAGCAATTGAGAGTGAAAGAAACTCTAAGTAATGAAAATCTAGAACACTTTCTGCCTCCTTCACTTATGTAGCTATGGTACTAACAAAATGACAGTGTTAAGTGGAAGAAGTTTTAGTGTATGTTAATAAAAGTATTTTAAATTTTCTTTAAAAAAGATTTAAGCAGGAATTTTTAAAGCTGAAAAAAACCCTAAAGGTAGAGATAAATGTTATACCAACTCTTCAAAATCCAGGTTACATTGGAACCCATATACCTTATATCTTAAAAACATTTGTTCCTATATGGCTAGATATGATCTATAAAACAGAAAAATTTAATTCATTATAGATTTTCAAAATGGATATGTATTTATTTTTCTAATTATAACAATACTTTTCATATAGTTGGAATTGAAAACAATAAAACATTAATGAAGAGGATATAATTTTGGTATATATTATGTAATAGTTGAATGATAGATAGTAAAATATATTTTCAAATATAAATGGGATCATACCATACACATTTAAGTACTATTTAGCCATCTGTCTCTTTTACTTAACATATTATGAGCATCTCCCATTTTGATATATAGAGCTCTTTGTTATTCTTTTTAAAAGTTTCATATAAATGTTTTACTGAATCAATACCATAGTAACATAATTTGAATTATTTTCCATTTTCATATTATTATTGCCACCATAATGTGGATCTTAATTCATAAAACACGTTACACTGTGCAATTACTTCCTGAGGCTAAAAACTTAGAAGTGGAATTTCTGTGGAACTGAAGCAACATAAAATTTTTGTACATGTTGAAATATCATCCTTCAAATATACTGGTTCAGTTTACATTTTTTGTAAATCCTGTATGATAGAAATATTTTTGACCTCTCTTTATAGCCCAGAATGTCCATGGTTCTAAATTTCAGTGATCTTAAAGAAGAAAAAGCAGTCGTTCATATTTGCATGTTTCGGATTAACATTGAGCATTTTTATATGTGTATTGATGATTTATACTTTATATATTATTTTATCCATCAATTTATTTGCTCTCAGCTTAAGAATTCTTTTCTTCCCCTTTGAAAGAACTCAGCAGAGATTAAATATATTAACTTTTTGTCTCGTGTGTTGTGTGTACTTTTCTGTCTTACAGGTAATTTTTAAACTTTTGTCCTTTTATACATAAACATATTCTTATTCATCTACTTAAGAGAATAAATTGTTCTATATAATTTGATACTGACATAGTTTTAGTTCTTCTAGTACATTAATAACTGTATGGAAAATTTTATTCCATTTAAAAATTTGGTCTTAGTGCATTTTAAACAATCTCCAATTGATATTGATATTGATCCAACACAATTTATTGAATAAGTTATTGAATAATCTATTCATCCTCACTCATTTTAGTCATTGTAATATTTCTATAAGTAATCAGCTAAAAAATGCCAGATTCAATGTCTCAGTCTCTTATGCTGTTAAATTTAATTGTCACAATCACCCGGTAAATTATAATTATCCCCATTTGTAGAAGTATACAGATGTTTAAAAAGTTAAAAAAATATTCTCAATATTTGGAACTAAAAATAGTATCTTGGATTTGACTTCAGTGTCTTTCTGATTTCACAAACTAGGTTTTTCACTTCACCGTGTTCCCTTTAAATAAAGAGAAAGTGATTGATTTTTATAAGAA